TAACTATATTAAACTAATTTAATATTATGATTAAAAAATTTAATTCTCGTATCAAATCTTAACACTATAAAAGCTAACTATTGCATATATCACAAAAAATCGTAAAATACATAAATTCATGTCATAGGAGACAAATGCACAAGAATAACAATACCTTTTGCACATATGTTAGACAACTACTATCGTAGTCGAATCTTCACTTGTTTCTCAGTTGGTAAGGATAACATCAATAACTGGTCTCCAATAGTTATCTCAACTAAAGAAGCTTTTTATTTTAAATGACAAAAAAATATCATCGTATGTTAAAGTAATCTAAATTTTTAAAGGATTTATAAGAGTTCAAGTATATCTAATAATGTTCGATCTAGATTGTGATTAACAGATGGTAGAAATATTGTGACATTTTCTGAAGTCTTTTAAAGTTTAAATTAAAAACTATTTATTCATATGTGATAGTAATAATAACAACAAAAACAGAAGTAATAATTACAACAATTATTATATCCATAACAACAATAATAGTGGTATTAGAGATTAATAACTCTACCAACCCTTAAATAAGTAATTTCTTATCATTTTCATTTATATGTATATATATAAACCTTCTCTTCTAAACATTAATTGAAGTAGTTCAAGAGGCCTTAGTTTGTCCATCCTCTTACCCTAGCAACATACAACCTAATCTTAGGTTCACCAGCTTATATCTGCAAAGCTAAGCTCAAGCAAGAAAATGATAGTAGAAAGGTAAGCAACAACAAATGAAACTCAAAGAAAATAACCACAAAATCACATATAAAAAACCATCAAAAAGTAATGTGAAAATACGTGAAAAAGAAAAAAAAAATTGAACTTGAAAAACGATGAAGACAAGATTGAAAATACCCAAACTTGGGAGAGACCCATTTTTCATCAATCCAATCCAGATGCATCCTCAATTTCTCAGTATCAGGGACAGTGACGGTCTCTCCAGTGGTATGAAAATGCACAACATACCCTAACCCTTTCTTTTCGCAGATGGTCCCAATCCACCAACCATCATTGTCGAAGGCGTCAACTTTATCGCCTGGAGATAAATCTTCAGTCGGAAAAGGAATGACGGGCGGCTTAGGCCTGATCTCATTGATGGCGGTAATCTCTGTCAGAGGTCCTGACCCATCATCTTCTATCAAATTCTTGTACTCCACAAGGCACGTAGTTTTGCTGATCTTCATAGCCACTGTTCCTTCATAATAGGAACCCAGGTAACCCTCCTCTCTGCTGCTCACTTCGATCTCGTCTCCTATCTTGAATTTCATTTTTCTTTAAAATCTAGGGAAATTTTTGGATTTTTTTTTTTGGAGGATTTGCTTCTGGGTTTACAGAATTTTATAGCTATTAGGTAAGGTGGCATTATACATATGCAAAATTTTGACTCGATTTTCTCGATAGATATGAGAAAATTCTTAGTCGTCTTTTCCTAATATGCCAACTTTTGATGATTTTTTTTCAAAATTATACTAATTAATTCATTGAATTATATAGTTATTTTGAAAAAATTTAAGTCCTTTAATATTAATAAATAATAAATTCAAATGTAAAAAGACTTGGTAATCTACTAATGGATTTACATTTTGTCTTTTCGTTCCTTATAAAACATCTTAACTTTCCAAATTATAATTTACTATAAAAGTAGATATATTTCTTTTTTTCACCCAATAATTTATTTCTTTTAATCTTTCCACCATTCATCTTCTTTATTTTTCTTCTCCTTTAATTTTGTTTCCTTACTTGTGTGACCTCATGACATTTTCTATTTGTTTATAGAGATTTTTTACCTAATAAAGAAATATTTGTTTTAACATTAAACTTTTGCCATTTATGTTGCATATATGTATATACATAGTTAGATTTAGTAACCTCTTATTTTTAAATTTTTTAATCATAAATTTTATTGTATTTATGGTTTAAAAAATTTTATTATATTCCTACTATACTATATTTTAAAATTATTTATTAAATATAAAAATTTCATGCAATTGAAGTAAGTCAAAGTA